AGAATAAAATAAGATAAATAAATAGTAGTGGTGGGGTTAATATATTATCAAAAATTTGCTGATAAAAAAATATATATTATCAAAAATTGAATTTTTGGGTCATTTTGTATGAACCCAAATTACACTTAACCAATCTAAGAGACAAAAACCACTTTTTGCAAGAGTTGGCAAGGCAGGTGGCATTCATTTTAGTCATTGAATTCAAAATGAAAATACATACGTACCAATAATCTTAGGACCTAAGCAAGTGTTAAACTACTTCGCTTCAATAGTACATTAAATAGTTTTCAGTAAATATTAGTGGTGCTTTACTCAAAATTAATAGAACTTTTTTGCTTTTTCATTCTCTACTATCATTGTATTTCCTCAATATTCCCTATATTTCCCTTTGTTAAAAAAAAATATAATAATAAATAAAGTACTACAAAAACCGAGTACCGTGATGATAAACATTCTTCTAGCAGAAACCAAGGTACGATTTGTCTTTATCCAATACTAGAGATTGCCAGCTTCTAATTTACTCATTGAAAAAAGTACAATACACTGTATATGGATGAATTTCAAGCTTTGATTATAACACAAGGTAAAACAGAGGGAATGCATATATGCATATTCCTGGATGAAGGGGAGTCAATGCTAGCTAGCTCTTCAATCCTTTCTTTATTCCAAGTTGCGTTTTTCTTGCTTGGGTATCCCCAGATTTACTGGAATTGAACATCTTTAAAGTTTTTGTTAAATGTAAAATATTTGGTTGAAACTTGAGAGTTTTGGGCTGTGTGCGCACGCATTAATAGATAACTTCCCTCACGTGCACATGAATTTTTTCATCCATCACATGATATTTACACGTGCACATGAATTTTTTCATCCATATTTAAACAGTAAATATATATTAATACACACATCCACTAAATAAAAGAGTTAATTATAATATTAAAAACTTACGGTAAGAAAAAATATTTAGTTAAATGATTCCTAGTTAAAGGATTGGCGTGTTAAGACTTTGTGTTGCTAATTAACTGGATACTGAATCCTAAATCCTAATACAGAATAAAGGCAAGCTAAGACTGCGGTAATGTGATCTATTCTGAGATTAGATGTCTATATTGACCAAATCAGTTAACGTGACAGTGTAAAGATTCGTATCTAAACTGGCTCGAAAAGATGATAATAGAAAAATGCTTCAAAATCTTTGGCACTGTAAAATTAATCTTGACCAATATACCTCTTGGAGACAGCAGCCTCTATCTTATTTCTTAAAGCAAAGCTTAGCTGACTAATGTAAGTCTCAAGTAAATAGTCTCCGCATGCTAGTTTGTCCTCATCCTATGCGACAAAAGTACGTACCGCTATAGTTTTTTTTTTTTTTTTAAATACTGATTAAAAGTTAATATTTGTTCATGTTAGTGGTAAAATTGAATTTAGACGAACTCCACTTGCTTTTTGTGGAGGAGCATGATCCATCGACTGGGTTACATGGGAGAGTTTCAAGTAATACCTTAGAGTTAGTTCTTGTAATGTCTCAAATTTCATATCAATATTAATATTAATTACTATTAATAACTTGAATTTAACTTTAATTGTTTTAGTATGTTTAGTTCTTAAGCACGGTCTATTTGATCTGAGAAAAAGAATTCTAAGACAACCGTAGCCAAATAATTTCTGACTAATTGATCTATGTTTTCTGATTCTTTCCGCTTGCAACAGATTGTCACTTCTTTAGTTTAGTTGTAAGATTTTATCTGCAAGTTCCTGGGAAGCAAAAAAATCCAACAAAAACCATGTATCCTACCTCAAAACTGAGGCCACCTTGCCGGGACTGATCTGTTTCCCATAAATCTAATCCCTTGCCCTGTCTTCATTAAGCAGCTCTCCACTTTTTATGCAATGCTTGCCACTTCTCCCATCTACATTACCTAAACTAATATAATAATTAGCATCAATCCTCCTATCCTCCAACTAATGAAGACTATTAATATTTCATCCATGAACAAAGAGGAATTAATTACGGCTATTGTTAAGTCTCTCAACACCTCCAACTGTCATTATATTCTTGGGGTAAATTGGTTCGGGTAGTTCCTAATTTTACAAGAGTCGTTCATTTTTGTGCTTAACATCTAATTGTGGCAATTGGGTCCCCAACTATTTTTAATATTTAAGTTTCACCTTTTTTTTTTTCGACTTTACTTTAATAACATATATCGATGTCAAGACCAAAAGCCCAATATCAGCTTGACCACTGGTATTAGATAGAACTCCATGACTTATTGTGATTGTTTGCTTGGTGATGAAATGAAGGGATTTAAACATGTATTTTCAAAATAAATGAAATTAAAAGAACATATAATAAAATTTCTATACTATTTATTTTCAAACTATGAGAAACCTTTATTTTTAACGTACCAATGAGGTTTCTAACTACAAGTACCAATGAGGTTTGTTATAACAAGCACGTATACAAAAATTTTATCAATAAATCATTATTATTCTCATAAAAGAAAAATTCATTATAGTTAAAAATAAGGTTTTTTTTGTAGTTGGTAAACAATAAGGACTAACATAACCTATTTAAAAAGATTGAGGATTAACCATGACATTTATCCTAATTCAAAATGCACAACAACTAAGCCCCTTTTCCTTAATGAAAAAACTTCGAGTCAATTACTTAAAAATGTCCAATAATTTTATAGGTTCTAATCTAGCAAATAATAAGTTTTCTCTTATTTTTTTATCTAAATTAAATAACTTATATACACTTTATACTTACTCATACTCTGAATAAAAAAATTCCTCCTTGAAAATCAATGCATACTGCATCCTTCCAAGCAAATCCCTTGGGCTTTGAGCCTGACCACGTTCGCCTGCTTCCTTCAATTTCCAGTTAAACTTTTCTCGGACTCAGAGACTCCATACCAGTATATATACTCTTACCATTTTCCCACACAAACCCAAGCTCCATTCTGAGAGCTTTTTTTTCTTCTAAAAGAGGTAATTTAAAATCAAATCAGTCTGAGTGTTTGCCATGGCTGAGCTTCTGGTGCAGCAATACAACAACTTTGGCTTTGTCAAAGGTCCGTCAAAGAGAAAGAGCCACCGCGGCTTCTCCTCGAAGTGTGCCTCCTTGGTAAAGCAGCAACGTGCCCGTGTCTACATCTTGCGCCGCTGCGCTACCATGCTTCTCTGCTGGTACATTCAAGGCGAGGACTAATCTTCTCCAAACGATTAGGCTTCGTCGAATTACATGCATTAAGTAGTTCGGTTTGGTTTTATGGGGTATGTGGTGTGGTGACTTTCTACCGTACTTTCCTTTTGTGTTTTTTACCGGATGGGAGCAAATCCACCGGGTTTTTGGAGATCGAAGGGAGGATTGTGGCGCGCACTCCATGCCCTTTCACCGGCCGGACATTAATTAGTTATTTGTCGACGGGGCAATACATACGTTATGTTTGGGGGATTGTTTGCCTGTTGCTGTAGTAATTGTTAATGTGACTATAACCCTTTTGCCCTCTTAGATGGAGGAGAAGTTAACTTAATTATGTTGTGGTTTGTATGCTGTTGTGATAAAGAGTATGTAATTCAATAAGTGTTTTCTCGTATCCTTGATTGGTGACAATAAAATTATCACCCCCAAGTCAAATTAAGAAATTATCTTCTAAATTCAAAATAATAGTTTAGTTGGTAAGCGGTCATTCTTTTACTTCCTTAATTAGGGTTTAATTTTTCTTAAAGATTAATAAAGAAACAATTTCTAATAAATTTTTAAATAAACTTAATAAACTACGTAAATGTCTAATCATAATATTAATAACTGTATAAAACTAAAAAATTAGATTTATAATGGACCAACTAACAAGGATAATGGTCACCAACTACCTTCCGTCCAATAAGGCGAATGATGGTCACCAACCATCTTCCGTCCAATAATGCTTAAATTAGAAAAATATTTGAAGTTATCCAACAACTTAAATGACAACTTCAAATAACTTAATGATAATTTTCTTTTATTAGGAGTAAAAGGTTTTGAATTTAAGTATGGTAATAGATTTGAGAGAATTACTTCTCATTATACAACCAAAATCCAAATATATGTATATATATATATATATATATATGGAGTTAAGATCCTTGATTTGGCAAAAAATAAGATAGAATCCTTGATTTGAAACTGGCTTAAAATTAAATGACTACTTTTGCCGATTCAGGTGGTTGTAAGCCCATAGCTTTGTTTCTAGTATTCAGTGGGCTAGTGACCATAGCCCATTTAACTGTGAATAAACAGAATTGGGAATTACAAGATATTGGGCCCACTTGAGTATTAGGAGCATTGGACCTTGTTACAGTAATGGAACTGGACACTCGTTGGGGTAAACCTCATGAAATATGCCCAGATGAAGGTTTGTTTGGTATAAGAGGAACAGAAATGAGAGAGATCTTTTCATTTTTATTTGCCTTTTTTCATTTAGATAAATTAACATAAAAAAATAAAATGGTAAAAGATTCTTTCCTACTTTCTCTTTCAATTATTTATCTAAAGAAAAAAAAAAAATCTCATTTTCTTCTTTTTATTTTCTTCTTTTCATTTTCCTCTAATTAAACAAGTTCTAAAGTTAATGTTTTAGTTAGGTACAGGGACAATTTATAGGTAACCAAACAAAAGGGGTAAGCACTTGAGTCAAATGTAAGAAAACAAAACTGGCAAAATATCAGTTAGAAAGGGTGCAAAAATTGGTTAGCTAGGTATCAAAACAAAAAGTATTAAATTTTAAATATATTTTTGCATTAAGTCAAACTTTAGAAATTATCAATTCAGTAATATGTCCTCGAACAAATTTGTTGGCACCATAATTTACATATTTTCTCAGACACAACTTTCAAGCACATGACTAGAAATTCTTAATATAAGGAACCTTAGTAACACCCATTTTTGGCGGCGGAAAGGGAGACTAGTTTGGATTACCGGCAGCCAGTTTAGCTCTCAGCTCCTTTCTCAAAATTTTTCCCGACGGCGCCTTTGGGATGGTGTCAATGAAGAACACACGACTTATTCTCTTGTAGAACACCACCTGTGACATGTAAGTTACAGACCCCGTAACAGCATTAGGAAAAGGAAGAAAAAAAAAATCTAATCTAATTAAACCAGAGAACAAAGGGTGAAACAAAAACTGCGCACTGGTGGAACTAGAAATTTAGGTTAGTGGAAAGTAGAAGTTATTTTAAAGAACAGAATTAAAACTCACTTTTTCTTCTTCTTCTTTTTTTATTTTTTTAGTTGTACAACGGGAGGTAATCATTTCTCATCTCTTATCTTATTTTCACTCGCATGTCATGCAATTTGAAATTAAGACCTTTTACTTGCAGCAAAAGAAAATGACTATTAAATTATTTAAGTCGTTGACAAAACTTACTTTTTTTTAAAAAAAGTGTTATGTAGTTCGTTTTGTATAAATTGTATAATTAAAATATTTACTAATTACTATTAATGAAGCCCTCCAATAGCCCCACTAGAACTATTGATCACGAAACTCTTGGATGTGCAATATATACAAGGTAAATCATAAGAGTGAACTAATAGTTTAAAGTATGTTTAATTTAGCTAATTTTTTTAGCTATAATTTTTTTTCTTGCACAACTGATTAGACTGTTTGAAAACATTAGTTCACATGCTTATTTTAAACTGATATCAGCTATTCTATTAACTATTAACAATTAATGGCTGATAATAACTAAACTAAATAGTGCTTTCTATCAAAAGAATTTCAATATTTTAGCGTAAGTCAAAAGCCCCAAGTTCAAACACTTATAATTTCTCACCTGTTTTGAAATATATTGCTTGATTTCATCCTCAGTGATATCAGAACCCCTAGATTTCACCACAAATGCAACAGGAACTTCTCCGGCAGCTTCATCCTTCATGCTGGAAATTCCATAAAATAAATTTTTCGTTAGGTAAGTTTGGCGCAAAAAGTTGTAATTAGAAGCATAAT